AATTGGCAGAAGTTAGAATTGCTGTTCCATTGGTTCGGGTCTCAGTGGCTTAATGGTATACGAGCTCGCCTTGTAACCGGAAGATCCTGGGTTTGAATCCCGGTGGATTCGTACTGCTGAAGAGTCCCAAACAAGCATGAAACAGCTGTCCAGTATTCCCTGTTAGTTTTCTAATGCTTTTCTAACTAATGTCAGCTCATGATGAAATGCTGTAGCCAAACAAACCAACACTAGATTTTTTTCAAATGTCTTCAACCAATCAAGAGATTTAGAGGAAATAATCATTTGCATGCTAAAAACGTTTTCACTATGTGTTAACCATGCATAGCTGAACATAAATATGAATTTAAATAGTATCACGCCAACCGAATTCAGTTGGCTGTGTTTTTCAAAGCAATTAATGAACAATAATCACGTCAGTAGAAAAGTGTTTGGGGTGATTGACGGTTTTTATCTCTGTATTGTTTAAATACTTACTGTTGATTGCTAATATATTTCTTATATGAATTGCATATAATTCCGCTAAATACAAATTCCGGAATTCCTCCCTCTCTGTGTTTTGGTTGGATTCTTGTAATTCGGTCATCTCGAAATACTAATACTACGATTACAAATATTACAACATTTTGGCGTCGCGATGGAACTAAATAACCTTGGAAAGTTTCCGATAAATGGTTCACCGCTAGAAATTGCTGATTATCTTGAATGCTTCAATGCATGATGCATTTCAAAGAATGTTCGGGATGACAAAATTCCAGCACATTTCATCACTGCTATTGGGCTAGATGCATATAGCCTAGTGAAGACTCTGTCGTTTCCAGATAAACCCATTTCTCTGCCATATGACAAGATCCGTGAACTTCTGATACATCACTTCCATATAACTACTTTTGAGACACGAGAGAGAGGCTCAATTCAATAAACTGGTTCGTGCTCCCAATCAGAAGATTAGAGACTTCATTCTTCAACTTCAAATACAAGCTTCAAAGTGCAACTTTGGAGATCAGCTGCATACTCAACTACGTGATCGTCTAATTGCTGGAATCAATATTCCAAAGCTAGAGAAAGAGTTAATTCAGATTCCTTCCTGTACCTTTCAAACTGCTAAATATTTATGTATTACATATGAGGATGTCAACAGTGAATACTCTGCTCCCACTACGTCAGTATCTGATGTCATGCTGTCCAAAGTCGAAAATACAAGTGGTGATGGAAAGAAATCCAAACTGCCGTCCACAGGTAATAGAATGCAGCGAGAGATCAAAAACATTAAACCGTGTTTATCCTGTGGAAAGTTACATCTACGAAGCACTTGCCGTTTTCGGGTGCTAAGTGTCATAAATGTGGACACATCAAGACTGTTTGCAGAAGTTCGAATACTTATGTTACTCAGAATTCTTATAATTCTCCCAATCTGTCTAGTAAAATGGAGTCAATGTGTCTTTCAACTTTTCAAATACTCAATCTCATCCAATGAAAACCTCCACTACAAGTTCAGCGACTCAACTGTCAACTGTATCACGTGATTTCAACAATGAGGTAGCCGAGTTAAAATGCGAACTGTGGAAAACAAGAAAAAAAAATGAGTGAAATGGAAGCTGGCTGGTTGTCCATTCGTCAACAGCTGACTGAGGTGAGAGAGCAACTGATTAAATGAGGAACTGCTGCATATGCATAGACTGCGTCTGTTGAATGCAGAGCATACAAGTACCCGTGAAAGTCCTGCAAAACTTTTCAAATCTCGAATTCTCAGAAAGCATCTGATGTCCGCGGCCTCTAATGTACATTATTACAAAGGGAATGACTATAGACCTTCTGTTGGAATCATACTACAAAGAATGGGAAATCGAGTGGTGAAGATATTAGACATCAAAGATCATTCAGTTCATAACAGACACCTGGACAAAGTGACAATAAATGAAGTAGGTCGTTCCAATTATAATTTTAGTGATTCCACTACTAATCCTGATTTTGTAGATAATTCGGAAATAAGTCCTTATGATACTGATGAAAATAATATCACAGAATCAGTTAGAAGTCACAGTTACTTGCAAGCAAACCGAGACATCGTTATAAATACGCAAGGAGATATTCGACGTGTGGCGATGTGGTGATCGACAATTTCTATCTCTGTATTGTTTAAATACTTACTGTTGATTGTTAATATATTTCTTATATGAATTGCATAATAATTCCGCTAAATACAAATTCCGGAATTCCGCCTTCTCAGTGTTTTGGTTGAATTCTTGTAATTCGGTCATCTCGAAATGCTTATACTTCTAGTGTGAAAATTACAACAGTGTTTTCTGACATTTTAGCCAATATCTCACAGAACGTCTCTCATATTTGTTCGGGAAATGACGGACAAAAACCATACGAAGCGTTGTTTGGCTGCATTCAGGTGACAGTGTGCATCCAGGTGTTAAATCGTCGACGTTTAAAGTTTTTCGTCGTATTTTACTGATTCTTTCCAATAGTATTCGCTTTTTTTACCGAGTATGGTTGAAACAATCGGCATTCAAATTGCGGAGCTTGAACCATGCATTTATTGAAAAGAGGTTTGTGCAACCATTATCCTTCCCCTTGCCCGCTGAGACTTGACCAACTTCCTACACCACCACCTTTTACAGATTGTTAATCCCATCTTTGTAGCATTACACTCAGATTAATTCAACATGAGGCACAAATAACTGAGGAGAAGGAATTGGGAATTCACCTTCATTTTGAGATATGTGATTTAGTAATACTATAGACTATATTAGAATCTGTGAATTCATATTCCGGTCCTTTGCTGGCGAAAATGTGATACAAATTAGTGTCTGAAGAGCTGTACATACCTGGAGACAGTTTCCTGAGTGTTGCATTGATTTCAAAGCAATTCATGTCAAACAAATAAATACTTGTGTGATAATCGCCTTAGATTACATTTTATGTGGAGCTCCTCAAAATAAATTCCGTTAACCATTCTTAACCAATAAATTCACAATATGACAAAATGTGAGTGAAGTGAAATATCGATAAAGCAATAAGAAGACGTAATTTGTCCAAATCACGTGATGTATTTGCGCAACACATTTCGAACAATCTGATCACACACGGACTTGTCATAGGAATATATATATATATATATATATATATATACATAAAATTAATAAAGAGGTAAGTGGTGAGAAAAATAGACTTAGGTCAAGTTACAAGGACATATTCAAGGTCAAAATACACAATGAAGACCACTAAACCAAATAGCAGAGGTAATAGTACATCTGCTATGGTATCAAAACAAAATTTACCAAGGAAGGTTTAATGTGATGACAAATTGTTTTTGAACGCATAAACGTGGCTTGAACTTTCTAATTGCTAGGGCTTCTACAAACTTTAGGATACGCCCCAAACACGTTTTATAGATAGGTTTAAAAGATCTGTTAACATCAATTTTATGACCTGTCTCTTTAATATGTTTCGCAATAGAAGAGCTAGGTCTCCTGTTCTCACCGTTAATAGGTTCTGATGATTCCATTTGTTTCTGGAGCCATTTATAACTATGTTCTGAAACCAGCCCTTACTTGCAGAGATCGATGAGTCCTCCCTATGTATGTGTGTCCACATGTACATTCAAATTGGTAAATACAGTGGGATGTGACGTCATTTTTCGCATGTTCGAAGGGCTTAGATAGATATAATGGCTTTACATTCTCTAATATTATGATATTAACTGCATAAAAAGTATTGTTAACAGCAGCGTTCAGTCTTTGTCTAGTTATCGAGCTGCTTTGATGTCCCATATAGGGTAGCTTGACGTACACGTCTTTTATAGGGGGGAGTTTTAGAGGGGGTCTTGGTGTTCTGACTACTTTATACAACTCCTGATGAACCAGGGTTTGTGCCGACTTTTTTTCTTCTTCATCAAGTGTGTCTTTCTTCAGTGTATATTTTTTGGATCGTACAGAAGAGGCACTTAACTAAGGCTCTTTTGTACGAAGTGACCTATGTGAGACGATGTTTGAAGAATACTCACTGAATAACTTTTTAATTTTCATTGGTTCGTTACATACTTTTAACACCTTATTTCTCTGATTTACCGTTCATTCTCTTCTCTCAATAGCAGTCGAATTCAACAAGGGGGCAGACGCATTACTGATGACGAAATAGTCAAGGCTGGTGAGGCGGATCACAAAAGCAAATGCTTGGTATCTTTTTCTTCAGAGTTATTTGAGAGAATAATAGTATGATATAATGATATTAAATAGTTGAAAGCGATCGGCCACAGGAAGCCTTGATTGAACTAGGTTTCGTGCTAGTTGGCACTCAGCAGTCACCAAGGCGTATCTGCAACCTAGAGGAAATCACATCTGCATTAAAGAAAGGACTAGACACATCACACTAGTTACTGACTAGTGTCTAATCAAAGTATCCATTACAGTCCTACAGGAGGTCAATCACAAACCCAAATAGCTCTGTGATAACGCCTCTGACTGCAGCACTAACGGACACAGGTTCGAATCTCAGAAGGGATATGAGTTCCTTCAAGCTGGTTGCAGATACGCCTTGTTTACTGGCTGGTGAGTGCCAACTAGCACGAAACCTAGATCAAGCAAGGCTTCCTGTGGGCGATTGTCTCCAACCATCTAATATCACTGAATCAGTGTGCACTACGCGATGGCAAGCTACCTAGAATGTCACATTGCAAACCTGACTGATAGAATTCAGTCAACACCAAAGAAAGGACTAGATACATCACACTAGTTACTAGTGTCCAATCAAAATAGTATGATACTTTTGTTATTTAGTGACATCTGTAGATTAATTACCTTCCTGTTTTTAATGCAATCAACCACGATTGTTTACCTGATGAGCAAAGTTCATTAGCAAACTTTATCTTTCTCTTGATAGATCAAAATAAATATTTGGTGAACTGTTTCCTTCGCATGGATTGCAGGAAAAAAAAAGAGATAAGAATGTACTATAAATACATGGAAATCACCGTTCATATTATAACACCGCTCAGATGGAATCAGGTAAATTTATTTCCCTCACGATTTTAAGTTCTCTCTGAGATGAACATGTTCCCTTTATATCCTAAGGCCTAATTGTTGCTTCATTTCGCAATTAATACCCATTTGTTTCCGAATGCTATTGCTGAACGGCACGACTACGATTTTGTCATGCGATAAGATAGATTCCATCAGGTTTCACCTGTTTTCGTATTCCTACCGAGAGATATAACCCTAGTCTGATATGGAATACTTATATGTTATCATAACCTGTTTATTATATGAATTATTTCAATGATCCGATTAGCGCTGACAATTAAAGACAGACCACTCTGTGTGCAGGTATATTGCTGGTACTGAACTCGCTTAGTAATCTTACTACGAACGACACTCACTTATTGACAGCAGTGAGGGATGTAGTGAATTCCTTTTCACACTAGACATCATGATTATAGACACTCATTTCACACACACACACACAGTCTCCAATATTCTTATTGACTACCATGTTATATTTTTGTGCATTTTAACAGAATTATCCGAGAAAATGGCTGATAGGAAAGCTGAAGTGAATTCAATTTTAATAAATCATGAATTTGAAGTGTTGGACAAATTCCAGAAAAGAGTGAGTCTACTAGCCATTGATGAAAGTAATTACTAATTTTGTAGGTTTTAGTGTTTCTTCTTGTGATGGGTTTCATCACCCTAGTCATAACACTTGCTATGACGTTCATGTATGTTGATCTACATGTTTTTTTTTATTAACGAATTATTTTCTAGATCTAGAACAGAATATCTGATAGTGACTGCCGTCTCTTATGTCGTCCTGTGTGTTTGTCATACAACCAATTTAACCAAGTTCATTAAATTTTGTTAAATTTTAATTATGTGTTATATACTAGCTATATTAGATTAAATTGGGGGTAAATTGCATTTCAATGTCAGAGTCGTTTACAAGTTATCGTTCAATCACGTAATCTTAATAGATTTACTATAGTAATGACATAAATTGAGAGTTAATTAACTTGGGTTATGTATTTCCTCTAATCTTTCTTGATATTCCCATATCGTGTTATTTTTTTTGAATGATATTCTTGTAGACAAACTACGTAACGAAGTTACAACGATACGGTGACATCACGGAGTCTCTACTTTCTGAGTTTGTTAATTCTATTCATTCTTCTTTATTGCTACCTACGGGCTTAATCTTTCCCCAGCTGCTTAAGAAATACTTCTTAAACTGTGAAGTTCACTAAAAGCTGTCAATAGGGTGTATGCATTGGGTGTTTTTGAAGAGACTTATTAATACTGTTGTAGACAAACAGATGGACTCAAGCAAGAAATTGGTGAATGTATTATTTCATCAAACCGAGAGCATCCTCTTTATGCATCCATGCGTCTCATCAAGCAGAACTCGAAGGAAGTGGAACGTAAGGCTTTAAGCTAGAGACTTCAAGTTTCGGCAGTAGTAGTATTTACTTTTACGGGATAGGGTTACTAGCACCATGCCCAATCTTTCCCATTTTACCGGACATATTAATGGTTTAGCGAGATAATGGAGTGCGTCAGTGGCTGGGGACCGAAACTCGGACCACATGAGGTGTGGTTGGCGAGCATTCTACCGCTGTGCCAACGGAACACTATGAAACTCTATGTAAGCGGCTCTTTTTATTCTTGTTTCATTATTATTATATCGTGGTCAATATTTTCAAACAAATTTCAGACTATTATCCCTGTGCCATGCAATGAGAAAATCAGATGCGATATTGCATAGACGCTGAACATTTTATATTTGTGTCAAAAGAACGTTTTAGAATGAAGCTACTACTGTTATTATTAATAATAAGTCGTGTTCTAACCTAACACATCAAAGCGGATTACCATAAGAGACTTACAGGAAGCGTTTTCTCCACAGAAAACCACATGCATTGAAAGCACACAGACACTGTATACCTGTCAATTCCACACTGACAGCTTTCACTGAAGTCGAGAGGATTACATCTCACGATAAGTAGAATCTGCTGGAACTTCCATTTTATGTGTGACTCAGTGAAGTATGTTGCGACGTGTTGTGCAAACGGTAAGGAAGTAATCTGAAAGAACAGAAGGTGTAGCAAAAAATACAAGTCAAATCATTTACTAGAATATTAGTGATATCACACAACTATTTTTCAATTATTAGAGAGTTTTCACTTAAGCGATCAACTTCCAAAGCTTAATACATAGAGTGGAATAAAGCAATTGTAAAATGAATAGTGATAACAATTTTGCTCCCATTTATTTATACATTTTTAGCATGAGTTTTACATTTTTGTAATGATGTATATGTAATTGGTGTAATCTACGATCTAGACATCATCATCATCATCGATTTCTTTTACATTTCAGGGCTGTTGTTGATATCGTCGTAGTGTATGTACTGGTGGTATCTGATGGAATAAGAAAACGATTCCCCTTGAATTTGATGTTGACAATGTTACATGTATGAAGTCGATGTATTTATTATTCATGTGTATATATGTAAATGTCAGTTACGTCGGTTGACTACTGCTCGCGGCACTGAATACTTTTGCAGTACGGAGTATTTATTACCAATTAGTTTCTTCGGCTGCGAATTAAAGAGTAAAGTAGGTAATACAGGATGTCTGGAATTTCCTCGACATAACATGGTGTCTTCATATATGCAGAATAAAATTTGTTGTGTCATGGCATCTACGGGACATCTGAATCCTGGGTAACTATGAATTTGCCAACTATTCATTAGGTATTCAGCAGGTTCCAGTGAATTCTCTATTGATAGTAAAATAGCTGCCTAACAAATGACGAAATCAACTACCCAAAGTCCCGTGTTCATCGTTAGTAATCCCAGTGAAGAGTTATTTAAGATTTGTGATCTGATGGTATTTAATTTCAATTTGATATGCATATAGCATATTATGAGTAGCCTCCATTATTAATAAGATTTATACTCAACCACTTTGCCCAAGTTTATACTTATATCGATAAGTAGCCCGTCTGGTCGGGAGATAATCATTTAGCCTCAAAGACAGACCCTGGTGAATTTTTTCATTGGACACTAGCCAATAACTAGCTTGACGTGTCTAGTCCTTTCTTTGGTGTTGACTGAATTCTATCAGTCAGGTTTGCAATGTGACATTCTAGGTAGCTTGCCATCGCGTAGTGCACACTGATTCACTGATATTAGATGGTTGGAGACAATCGCCCACAGGAAGCCTTGCTTGATCTAGGTTTCGTGCTAGTTGGCACTCACCAGCCAGTAAACAAGGCGTATCTGCAACCGGCTTGAAGGAACTCATATCCCTTCTGAGATTCGAACCTGTGTCCGTTAGTGCTGCAGTCAGAGACGTTATCACAGAGCTATTTGGGTTTGTGATTGACCTCCTGTAGGACTGTAATGGATACTTTGATTGGACACTAGTCAGTAACTAGTGTGATGTGTCTAGTCAACTAACACGAAACCTAGTTCAAGCAAGGTTTCCTGTGGCCGATCGCCTGAAACCATCTAATATCACTAGTGAATTGTGCTGGAATAAAACTGATAATGTGGTTGGTTGCGTACAGTGGGGCGTCCCAAACTAGGACGAAACAGCTGTCCAGTACTCCCAACTGTTTTTCCAATGATTCTCTAAGTAATGTCAGCTCATGATGAAATCCTGTCATCAATCGAATCCCTACAAACCAACACTGGAAAACTGATAATATTACAAGATGTTACTTCACTGAAGCAAAAGTCTTCCTCTTACTCATATGTACTTGTATCAAATTATCCTTAAACCTATTCACCTGCACTATGAAATTGTTCTCATGAGACTATCAGATTAATTATTTACTAATACGTAATTTTAGTATGTAATCTTCTGTTTTTCAGTCTGCTTGCCTGACTGTACTCAGCGAAGTCGCATTCATTGGAAGAGAGATCGTTTGGGTGCTTTTCGTATTGGTGCTAGCTTTAGTGCTCTACATTACATGTGTATCAATGGGTGCAAAGTTGAGAAGAGAACTACATGTAGGTACTATCAGAATGCTGATTGGCTATATCGTCTTCTCAGTTGCAATCGCCGTTGCTACAGTTGTAGTTTTCACTTTGACTAAGTATGTGAGTACGTTGTGAAAATTGTTATTATTATTTATTATTTATATTTTTACAAGAAACAGAACACGTGATTGAATATTTCTGGTTCAAGTATCAAACTACTCACAAGCATATTCATTTAGTGAGTAGTGTGAGTCACTGAGACAATGATGCGTATAAAACAGGTAGGGCATGGTGTCTGAACCATCATTCAGGGTCTCATAGTTCTTATTTTACAAAGAAATGTAAATGGGTAATATTCTGACAATATATACATTTTATTCAACAAAATATATATTTATCATTTAGATGTGATTGTGTTCTCTGAGCTGAATAGTTAATTTGTGAAGCTTTCATCGCCCCACCACTAGGCGACATCTTCAGCGCATACTTCAATTCGTTGAAGTGAGCTTTTAGATTAATCCACGAGTTAGTTATTAGTCATCTCTCCTGGTGAGTGAACTTGGACGTGATTGATTGCTTTTGTGTGTTTTCACACTTTCTAGGTTACTTGTATTGGTACCGATTGTTTCTTTAACTTGAAACTTGACCCTTTGTGTGTGAGGTTTCTTTCTTATCGGTTGGTAAATTTTGTCTATCTCGATGTGTTTATCGATTGATGATTCACTGGAATACCAGGCTAGCTTCTAAAGATTCTCTAGCATTCTTGTTGTTTCCTCTGTCTAATATTTACACGTTGTCCTAGTCGAACTGATGTCCATGGTTGTCTGTATGTAGTGATATGAGGGAGTGGATATCATGTCTTTTGATGGTTAGCTTATGTTAGTGGATACGAAGACGAAGGGAAAGTCCACCTTGGCCAATGTTGTGTTTTATCTTAGTTTTATCTTCTTTCGTTGTTGAGCCTTTTGGTTGACATAGACCCAGCTGAGTGAAGTGATTTTGTTTGGTTTGTGTGAGACGTCAATTCCTAAAGGTTTGAAGAGACGTGCAGGGATTTCTGAGATGTCCCTTTTATATGGCTGGGTGATTTTTTTGTGCTTTTTTTGGGGGGGGGTTGATTTGATAGGTTGGCTTGGGGGTATATGTTTTTTGATGAAATTCCGTGAATATCCGTTGCTATTGAAGACGTCCATGAGATATCTTTCTTCAATTTTCCTTAAGGCGGGAGTGCTGCAATGAGTCCTTTCCTTCTTGAATAGTGTCTATATGCAATTCCTTTTGTGTGTTATTGAATTGTGTCTGCTGTAATTCAGGATTCGATTGTGTCAGTTGATTTTCTATAAACTTGAGTTTCTAATTCCCCTGTGGTTGTTCGCTTGACTAAGATGTCCAAAAATGGGATTTGATCTCAGATTCCTCTTCTCTTGTGAGTTTGATGTCGTTGAAGATGTTGTAAATGAACAACATCATCTACAAAGTAAATTGTAACAAATGCGATAGACACTACATTGGCCAAGGTGGACTTTCCCTTCGTCTTCGTATCCACTAACATAAGCTAACCATCAAAAGACATGATATCCACTCCCTCATATCACTACATACAGACAACCATGGACATCAGTCCGACTAGGACAACGTGTAAATATTAGACAGAGGAAACAACAAGAATGCTAGAGAATCTTTAGAAGCAAGCCTGGTATTCCAGTGAATCATCAATCGATAAACACATCGAGAGAGACAAAATTTACCAACCGATAAGAAAGAAACTTCACACACAAAGGGTCAAGTTTCAAGTTAAAGAAACAATCGGTACCAATACAAGTAACCTAGAAAGTGTGAAAACACACAAAAGCAATCAATCACGTCCAAGTTCACTCACCAGGAGAGATGACTAATAACTAACTCGTGGATTAATCTAAAAGCTCACTTCAACGAATTGAAGTATGCGCTGAAGATGTTGCCTAGTGGTGGGGCGATGAAAGCTTCACAAATTAACTATTCAGCTCAGAGAACACAGCCACATCAAAATCATCTGCCTGATCTACAAATCTTCTCTATCCTATATATTTTACGTTTCTTCCTATGATGTAGTATGAAGAATCACCAAAGATTCTCGCAGCTGGTATAACTGTTCTAGTAATCCCTGTAAGTCATCATTTTGAATAGTTATTGCTGCTATTTATATTTGTTTTTATTAAGGCTAAGACCCATGTAACCACTGGGTGTCTTATTCAGAAATTGATTTGCGCAGCCTTTGCCTACAACTGACTGTATACCCGTTGAGATTGAGAAATGGATGAACATTCTACCAAAAATTGCACAACATTTATTATTTTGTTATTGTTATTCTGTTTGGTTCTTAGGGAGACATTTCACCCTATTCTATGAAGTAATGGCTGGCTCCAAGATTATGCAAAAGGTTTCATCTTCTCCTCACGTGACCTCATGCCTGTCACTTTGGAGTCACATCCAAGTCGCCATCTTAAGTTCGGGCTCCACCTGAGTGATTGTTTTGTACATAATGTCACGCGGCAGTTTCATCAGCTTACCAAATTTACAAATTGTCCCTACCTCCTACTGCATATTTGTTGGGCGGTAGATTGTAACCTGTTTTGCTGCTTATCAGAGTCTCTGGTTACTTTTCTTTTCTGGATATTAAATCCTCAGTAGAGAGTTGGCGAAGGCAACTGTTGGTAAAATTCTACACTATGTTGGAAATGCTTTTGCTGACAAAAATGTCTCCGAAACACGTAGAAGCACTGATTTTACACAGCTACTGAAGATCCGGATCCTTTTTACTTATGTTCAATACACGTGTAATGATTTCCAGTCACCAGGCTCAATGAAATATTATTTCATTGAATACTTCGAAAAATTACTATTACGCAGTTATTTTCTATGAATTCACAGTGCATAATTCCTGTCTTCTACTTTATTATTTATTAGTTCGCCTTATACGTTGGTCAGATAACAATTGGCCAACTGGAGTTCAGAGTATTTGATCCAGATTACTGTACAGCTGCTATGAATTTACATGCCACTTTCATCATATTTCTGATTGCACTCGGCATTGGATTTATACGTCCGAGGAGAATACCAATGATGTTAAACTTACTCGAATCGAATTTGTGATTTTCGCGGTATTTCAGCATTTCAATGGGAAAATGTGCATTTTTATAACTAATTGTCTCCAAACACCTTTATATACTGTTATGTTAATAATTTGTAATCGAAATGAATAAAGGAAACTTTCGAATACAGGTGAATACTCCTAAAATTATCACTGTTACTTTCGAAATTATTGATTTAGAACATTGTAAAAATGACTGTTTTGAGTAGTACTGTCAATTACAGCAATGCGATGGACACTGGATTTCGTATGTTCACTTTGATATTTGGTAATTGCACAGAACTGATCATTTCTACTCATGATGAGTTTTCTTCGTGTGTGGTCTAGTCCCAGTTTGGCGTTTATGTCCCCCATTAGGATTTCAATTTCACCAACTGCAGTATTATCCATTATTGCCTGTAGTTGTCTGTAGAATTCTTCTTTCTTTTCGAAGTCCGCGTTGTTTGTGGGTGCATAGCTTTGTATAATTGTCACTTTCCATCCTTTTGAGTTGAATCTGACGGTGATTACCCTGGGCGAGATCGTCTCCCATTGCATCAGGGCCTTCGTCATCGTTGGTGACATCATGATAGCCACGCCCTCGGTGTGCATGTGGTTGTCTTCTGGCTGACCGGAGTAGATCACTGACTCTCCTGTGAGCCCACTCCCATTCCACCTACTTTCCATCTGGGTAGCTTTGCCAATCTCGTACATGATGCGGACGTTCCATGTCCTCACACAGACTTTTTCTTTTGGCGCAAAGAGATTCGTCTTGCTGAAGTTTCTGTAGCAACTTTGTTAATAGAGTGGGATTGCTAGCCTCACGTCTGAGAGGCGGGGTTGTTACATGAATGTATAGTTTACAAAGCAGTGACTATTTAGGTTGCTCCCTTCTGGAAAAACGTAAAAAAAGAATAAAGCAATCAGAACAACACCAGCAAAAAGAAGAAAATTCACAACAGGAAGGGCAGTGACAACAACAACAAAAGAACCCTTGGCAATAGTATCACCGACAAATACAGTTAACAAAAATGATATCAAAACCACAGACTCATTGACACGGTTAAACGTGGGTATGTAAATCCAACAATATATACAATTATAGATATTAGTTAGCACGAAACAGTCACAATATACCACACAATTAGTCATAGATTTTATAAGTCAATAAGATTATATCCACAGGTTCAATGTTCGAAAAAGTAAAATAGTGTAGCACACTAGTCGAAAATCGCGTCAAGGTCATTTTCTTTCCATTATTAAATTGGGTCAAAATCTTAGACAGCTAAAAGTTGAGTGATACGAATGATGAATCGGATATATAGAAAATCGGATTTTAAATGAATATCATATAAGTACGAGAGGAGTAAAATAACATGAAATGGGATGAAGTTCAAACTAGGTCAATAAATTCATCTAGGTCAACTGAAAGACAAAGGAAGAACGAACATCCTTTGCATACAAAGACTGGAATTCTCTTCATAAATTCTCGTAGATTTGACCATGCATAAAAGACGTCTTCAAATTCCGTTCGAATGATTTGATGGATCACGATGGATACCAATGAATACGCCTCTTCTCCCTACTTGGTAAGCACTATCCAGAAAATCTAAGACAAAATTTTACTTCTTATAGATTTGGACTGACAGTTTCCGAACCAGAAATGTGTTTCATAAGATGTGTAGTTGTTTGCATTATATGAATTCCCTCACACGAGCAGCTGAATTTGTAGCTGTGCATAGAATCAAAGAAGCTGAGTGACTTATCTGTCACTTGGACGATTGTTATCGGTCATTTGAAAAATGAAAGTGAGTGGCAGCGGTATAAATCCGTCTTGTCAATATTATGTACGGTGTAGTTTTCACTGAACTACATCATGTCAATTACGAAAAGGTGTTCATCAGTGTATCCTTCAAGAAACCATTTAAGCTATTTCGTGAACACTACATCAAACCGTCACTTGTGTACGTGATAACGCAGACAGTATTCACTCCTAAACCTTCTTTTTTGACAGTTCAGAAAATATCTTCAAAAGAAGAAAACGTTAACAAAAAAGAGAATTTTCTCAATTGTTGGTTTGTAGGAATTCGACTGGTTGGTTACACGATTTCATCATAAGACGATATTGTTTAGAGAACCGTTGGAAAACCTGGGAGTACTGGACAGCTGTTTCGTCAGCCTAGTTTGGGACTCTCCAGAAGCACGCACCCACCGCCGGGTTTCGAGACCAGGAACTTCTGGTTACAAGGTGACGTTATAGACCTTCAAGCTAGGCCAGATTCTATGAATTAACGATATAGCGCGACTACTAGACAATGTCTTCTGCGAGTATTTATTTTCACACCCAACCTGATGAACCCTACTGGTCACAATTTTCCACTAGGACACAGGTAACCATTTACTTGAATAGGGACAGTTACTAGTGAGAGTATCATTGATATTCAAGAATTCATCTAATTAACAAATCACCCTGATCGGTTTACCTCAGATAATAATTTGTAAATTTGTGTATATTGCAAAAGCGCACGATGACATGAATTTGAAAACAATATCACTGTTGGCGAACGTATGTTGCTTAAAAGTGTTAAGTAAGAAAATGTAGTGTGATATTTTGCAACATTTCAAACTGTCATGAAACAAAAGGAACATTAGAATGCATAGAGCACTTATTATATAACACAAATGAATAAAACCTTAGAGATATATAATTGAGGACAAGGGAGAATAAAAAGAGGCGTTCACTGTGAGGTATGAGATTTAGTACACTGAAGCACACCACCTTTTGTCAATTATCAGAAGCTCAGAGGTTATATTTCATTTGTCTGAAGGGGAAATATGATAAAAATTAGCCTTCAGGGAGTTGAACACCTATGAAAAGTATAATGATGCTAACAATCATTTCGGAAACAAGTGAAGAGCACAAGATACCAGTGTGACAATAGCTTTAAATTGTCCTGTGCGAAATTCCTCAAAACGAATCCTGTTTGCCAGTTTTAACAAATCGGATTAGACGTGTGAGTGAGGTGAAGAAATAAATGCGAACTAAGTCAGCCAACATTTGAGGAGTACTCATTAAATTCATCTTGAATATTCCTTGGTTCATTACACATTTATCACACCTCTTATTGACATAATTTTACGCAGTTTATTTTCATTTAATTCAGTCTGTCAGCAGTCGAATTCAATAAGTCTATTAATGTTTCATGCGTTGGTGGCTCAGCGGCATAATGTTCGGCAACCACGCATTTGCTTTTTGTTCTACTACCGGTCAATGAACTTCTAAACCTTACATAGCCGATAAAATTTCAGGGAAATACGAAAGGTTTGACGTCACACTAGCATAATCAAGCCAAAATAACAACACAACTGCTAGAAAAACTTCAAAACTAAACGCTCGGACAATTTAGAAGTTAACTGGTGGATGGTGACTAGCAGTGGAGTCCAGGACAACGCCCATTTCGTCCTATTTGGGACTCGTCACTGGATGTATCCACATTCCACAGTGAATGATGATGTCTCAACCAAGGCTCGAACCCAGTGGCCATAGTTTCAAACGCTACTTGGGCCGCAAGAGCCACCTATTTCTTCTGCAACGGGTGTCACTAATTATTCAATTCAGTTTAGATTTCCCCGTAGATTGATTAGACCGAAGTGTCACTCTCAGGTTAACATGTCGGCTACTTGTGCAGTTGCTTCAACGATGTCTGGGCATGTAATTAGAAGTTAAATGGTAGACGATGACTAGCAGTGGAATCCAGGATGCGCATTTTGTCTTATTTGGGACTCGTCTTCTGGACGTACCTGTACTCCACAGTCAGTGACGATATTCCGCTTGAATGCCTATAATGTAGTTGGAACAAAATCAAGCGTAAATAAAAACAAATGTATTACTGACAATGAAATATTCAGTGTTTATGAAACTGATGACGAAACCAGTTACTCTATTTTCTGTTTTCAACGTTATCTCAGAGTTTAGTAGTATGATATTTGTTATACGGTTACTGATATTTGATTTCATATATTAGTTAGTTAGATATGCCTGCGTGGTATGTGGTAATCATGTGATTTCAAGTAAAGTTTCATATCAGTTTTAGGCTGGAGAGAATAACTCGTTTGTATATTTGAACATTAAACTATGCCTGAAGTGCTTTACATTAATTGCCTTGCTGTTTTTAATGTGATCAACCACAATTGTTTACCTGATGAGCAAAGCACATTCACACTTTATCCCCTCTTGATAAATCAAAATAAATATTTGATGAACAGTTTCGTACACACAGACTGCATTATAAATACACCGATATAAATATACCTTCGTCAAGTAACATCATACAAATGAAATCAAGTAAGTTTATTATTGGATTACTATTCATAGCTTTGTGTGTTCTGCATGATTTCGAGTTCTCTGTAGGGTGAACACGTTCTCTTCATACTTAAGGGTTTACTTGTTTTTTTTCTTCATACGGCGATTAAGACCCATTTTGTTTCTGAACGCTTTTTCTCACCGACGCGACACCTATTTCTCCAGAGGAAATATAAATTCCATTGCCTCTCACTAGGATATATGATCCTATTCTCCTGTGGAAATCATATATGTAGTCATAAATTTTAGATTTTTATTATACGAAACATTTCAGTGATCCGCTTAGTGATGACAATTTACAAATGACCAATATGTGTGCAGCCATGTAGCTAGTATTGAGACTGCTTGCCAACCGAACTAGATTTGCCGCTAACTTGGTGATATCAGTGCAGGTGGCATTATTGAATTCGTCTTCATCTAACAGCAAATGATTGCATTTTGAGTTTCTGCTGTACACATTATGATTATCAGCCAATAGTTTCACACTCACACACCGAAACATACTGTCATACACATTCCATATAACTGTCATGTTGCAATTTATACATTTTAACAGAATTATCGAGAAGATGGGTGATAAGAAAGCTGCAGGAATTCAGTTTTATTAAATCGTGAATTTGAAGTGTTGGACAAATTCCAGAAACGAGTGAGTCTACTAGCCAGTGATGAATATAATTAATTGATTATAGGTTTTAGTTTTTCTGGCGTGATATGCGGTATCACACTAGCCATAACACCTGCTCTGACATTCATGTATGTCAACATTCATAAATAATTAATCAATTTTCTTCCAGACCTAAAAAGC